TTTCAAGAGTTATTTTTTTTAATCACTAGACTGTGCTTATTAAGGATAGGAATGACATTTCTGCTGAGAAATTAGAGCAGGCTGGCCTGATTTCTGATTTCGGGTCCCTTGACTCTTTGTTGGAGCATGTGTTGAGGATGGAAGCCAGCATTCCTACCAGGAGCCTGTTCCAGCCCAGCCAGATTACCTGGGAGCCTGGCACCCACTCTGTTTGGACAATACATCTTTAGACTCTGAGTCACCTTTGGTTCCCTTCTTGATATCACTTTGGATGCAACTCAACAGCATCCTAGTGCCTTGGCTTCTCCCTGTAGTGACAGGTCAGCTTCCTGGGTTTCCCAGGCACCCTGCCTTTGGGAAACAGAGAGGTGCAGGCAAATACAAATGTTGCATATATAAGATCCCCATTCATTTGGGACAATGTGGTTTTGGTAACAGTGTTTTATCACTTTCATCTCTGTAAGATTAACAAGAGGCTGACTTAGGCAAAATGCCAAAACAGGTCCAATTCATCTAGAATTTCTAGTCTCTCCTTATGTTAATACTTGGAAGCTTATCCTTCCATTCTCACCAAAACAATGCTTCTTTTAGTAAGTTCATTGACATTATTTTTCCAACTGGTAAGTACCAAGCACTGGAGATACAGTTGTGAACAAAATAGACAAGACTCCCTTGTCAGGGAGGGGTTGATAGCTGCCATGAGAGTTCACTATTTCTGTTATGTAAATATTTCATTATACTATGCATAGATCCCCTGTACATAGTGTAAAACCATGCTGAGAAAAATCCAGACAAAAGGAACATCAATCAAGTGTCCTCTAGATGGAAAAAGAAATAAGGAAAAAGGGGAGAAAACCACATTCTGAAGAATAGACCAACAATGGGGTGGGAAGTGGGTACTGGCTTCTCAGAGCAGCTGCTTTGTGTATGAGTCTCTGGATCCTGCTACCTCCGTCATCCCCCAACCTGCCAGCAATGGCCTTCTTTCCTGCTGGCTGCATCTACATCATTAGTCATCGCTCTCCTTTTCAATCTGGACAGGATTAGGTCAAAGGTGAGAGGCAATCTCTGCTCTATTTAAAATTAAATGACAGAGACTGGTAGGACTGACAATAGCTTACTTTCAATATCTGAACACTATTACACTCTCCCAAGTCAAGACTTATATTTGTGTTGTTCTCTTTATCAAAGCTACTCCATAGCATTACACAATGGTCTTTTCAAGACCCTCCTCAAGTCTCTAATTTCCTCCAAATATGAATTAATCTTCCTCTAGGCTCATATGACATGTTGGTCTATCCTCTTCGCATCAATTCATATAACTGGCTCCACACTACAATTGTTTCTGTGTGGGCTTTCTCCTCTCATTAAACTAGGAGCTCCTGGGGTATAGGACAGGAATTGTCCTATCTGTTAACTTATAATGTGGCAAATAAGTAACAGAAATGCTTCACAAACACACTACTTTTTGCAGAGCACAGACTTAGATTTCTAACAAAACTGGATTCAAATTCCAACTCTGTCTCTTATCGACAAGGCAAATTCTGGCTCACTGAGTAACCACCCTGAGGAAGGGCCACCAGTGAGTCTTAGGGATTTTAATGAGGGAGAATGTAGTGACAATGTAGGGTATTTAAACAAAAATAAATCTATCTCATTTGAGAAATGGAGATAATATTTACCTTGAAGGAGTCTAGAGACACTGTCAGGAATATGATAATTATCTTGTATGACCTATATTATGGTAATGATAGTGCAGCAATATTCTATCAGCTTCTATGGATAAGCAATATAAATCAACTGACACCAAAAGAAAGCAACTACGCATTAAGACTTTCCAGAGTTAAGTGAACAATGATGTCCAGAGTCAAATGAGCAATGATGTTCCTTTTTTTAAAAAAGGAAAAAAAAAAACAACTTTCCAGAGTCTTCCTCATACCTGACCTGCCAGCACTGCATCAGTGAGTGACTTGAACTTCTCTAATGGGAAAGTAGACAATTAGTGGCACTTCAGGAATAGACAGATGAATCATAATGTTTTGAGATGCCTTCAATGAAAGTAAAAAGAAGAGCAGCTGATAAAATACATGAGTTTCACCCTGTCCTTGTATCAGCTTACAATAAAAATCATGAATCAAAGAAAAAGGTTAATTTTTCATCATAAGTGCATCTGTAGAAATGCTGACTATTGAAGCTATCACTCCAACTCAGACCAAATCTAGAGTTATCTTAATGCGAGTCCCTTTTTTGCCAACTTATTTGCACCTCAAAGTTCATATCTATGAAGAGAGATTCTATATATGAACAACTTAAGCACATTTTGGAACTGTAGACCTTTCTGAAAGCATCATGTTAAAGTTATGTCATTCCTCAGAGAACAGGCTTGAGCTCTGAAGGGCGGAATGTAGGTAGTAGCAATAAAGGCTAACAGCCAGGAACATTGAGATGTGACATCTAAGGTAAATTGCACTGTATTTGTTCTCCTTTTCTTCTTATTTTTTAGGACACAAGAAAAATTGATTTTAAAATAAACATGAAAATTGGCATTTAAATTGAAAAAAGTCATAAGAGAGCAATGAGAGGAAATGGGAAGGAAGGGCTGTCATTGATTCTCGGGTATTTTTATAGGGGATAATGGTGGTAAGATATTTTAGCAGAAAAGCCACTGGCCTGGAGATGGCGAGATCCAAATGTGAGTTCTGGTTCCTTCACTTGATAGCTGAGAGATCTAGGGATATTTATCTCTCAGGACCTCTGTTGCTCTTCTCTAAAATGGAGATAAAAACAAATCACCTCCCTCTAGGGATGCTGGGGAGAGAGTGATGGGAAACAAAAGCAGTTTGTAAATGAAAGAGCACTACTCAATTTAAGGCAATTGTTTTAACTCAATTGATTTTTTAAAAGCATGTAACAAGAAGAACCAAATAGATCAAAATACTAATAATGGCAATAATTTTGTTTGTATTTATATTTATACTTTGCTACACTGCTGACTGTCTACATTTCTACAATGAACTTCTGTATTTGCCATGAGAGAAAATGTTAAGTAGTTAGTTTATGTGTGACTTAGAGATATAACCCATGCAGTAAAAGTATGTAGGAATGCAGAAGGATGATAAACTCTGATGTCAGAAGGTTAGCACTAGGTTAAGAAACAAGGCGAGACTGAGTGGTGAGTACACATGTCCTTTTTATTATGATTTATGCCTTTTTGTGTGTCTTAAATATTTCATTATGATTTTAAAAATGAAATATCAGTGTGGGCTACGAAGGTTTATGTGTAAGGGATGCTCCTTGCAGAGTTACTTGTAACAGACAAAATATTTTAAATTAATTGTTCAAGTATTTGAAGTTGGTTAAATAACTTATGGTGTCATTTTTAAAAAGCAAAATAATGTGACTATTACTATTGTCTTACGAACCTTTAGTCATCCAATTTTACTGAACTAGCAACTGCATCTACCTGCTTAGAATAGAAGACAATAGAAATCTGTGCTGAACTGGAAACTTGATTCCTCCCATTTTACTATCTCTAGTATTTTATTAAGTCCTTAATCAGTATAAATATAACATATTCACTAGGTTGTAATCTTGAGGATTTAGAAATGTTGTCACATTATAATCTCCCCATAATAGAGAATAATATTTACTATATGAACAAGAATATGAGAAGTAGGAAAAACTTAAGAGTTCCAAATGAGGCCTCCTACTACCCTCATCTAAGAATTAAGTCTTTAAAAACTCAGTTCCTTAATTTCCAGGTGACGATGACTTGATTTGGGTCAATGTTTTGTTTCCTTTCTATTACCAAATTGCTAAGCTAATGGAACAGTCTCTCCCTTATTTCATTAGGCTCTAGATGACTATAGTGATGGAATTTACCAAGGATTTGATATTTCTGCTGATCATCTTTTGCATATGCTACCCAAGAATTCTAAGGAATGTGGTAGCTCTCAGATGAAAGACAAACTGCTTTCTGCTGTGTTTTAGGATGACTGAACTATGATTTTGCAACTCCATGTAAATTTTTGCCATTTTTTTCTAAATCAAAAACATTTTCTAAATACACATGCTGCTGATGCAGATATGACTACCAACCACTAGATGTCATAACAGTGAGTTTCAGAATCCTTCAGAGGCTTGGCAGGAAAGACAGGATAGACTTGAAGCAGAATGAAACCAGAATTTGTCTTTAGTCAGTTGAGAACCTTGGCTTCTACCCTGTTTACTTCAAATACCTGAACCTTCAGTTTAGGGATTATGAACCTTTGTGGGATTAAGAACATATGTACTGCTTCTCCCAGGAGTATTTGCATCTCAAATTTTATCTCAAATTGTTGAAGTGATTATTCTCTATTAATAAACCAAAAGCAAGAGGAGGAAATAAATTTCAGGGGTCAGAACTATGAAATCTTTAAATCATTCATCCTTTTGGCAAGACCTGCAACTACATTCAGTTGTATACTTGTGTTTATATAGCCTTTGTACATTTGTTGTGTGGAAGCTTATAAATTCTGTGCATTAATAAAACGACTTAGTTTTCAAAGTCTGTGCCTTAAAGGCATACATAAGAACATAAATCGTCAGTAAAAGTATGAAACTTAGAAACAAACAACAGAAACAATAGTACAAATAGATGATGAAGGATAAAAAGAAGTCATTACTGATATCATCTATGTAGATAAAATCAACATTAAGTTTAGCAAAGTTGCTTATGCAAAATCAAGTTACAATAAACCATGCTATTTTTCTATGTCAGTCATATCCAACTATATAACCTATAGACTATATAACATATCCAAGTTACCATTCACAATAACAACAAAAATCTCCAGATTAATTTAACCAGATCTTTAAGGAGACATTTGGAAAACTTTTAAAAAGACATGAGTATTTGAATAAATGGAAACACATTCCATGTTCTTAGAGAGGGCAGCTTATTTTTATAAAGATATCAATTCTCCCCAAAGGAATTTTTTCAATGCATTCCAAATTCTTAGAATTTTTCGAAGGAACTCAAAAAACTTACTATGAAGTTTCTACAGAAGAATTAAGGCCTGTGAGTACTAAATCTACAGTGAGAGTCTCCGTAAAAATTTGAAGTATTTACCAGTCTCTCCTCCTTGGGGTCCAAACCTTAAACCCATGGATCTGTTTTCCTGATTTTTGTTTCCCATCCCAGGAATCCAATAAAAACTTTGTTTAGCTTTCCATCTCCCAGCTCTGGTGTTTCCATAGTCAGCCTAGAGCAGAAACTGTGGGACCAACGGTTCCTCCTCTCTGGGGTTCCTTTTTTTTTTTTTTTTTTTCAGATTTTTGCAAACCCTTACTGTCTTGGTAGCTTTCCGATTAAACATATTTGAAATATTTGGTCCAGCTCTTGGATGCCATGTTGGTCTCCTAGAAGAAGTCACCTTGGTTTTGGGGTTTTGTTTTGGTTTTTTATACTTTCATTTCATCTCAAGGACTTCTCCACAAATTCCAAGTACCTAATCCTGGGTTTTACTGTAACATAGGTCTGAGAACTATATTTTACCAGTTTCCTCAGCACCTAGCAAAGTGCCTAGCATATTATAGCTCAATAATTATCTGCTGAGACTATATCTAAGGAAAAAAATATCAGCTAAAATGTATTGTGCACCTACTTTGTGCAAGGTACTCTTCTAAACAATGTATATTGCATTCTTCCAACCACCTTATGAGGAAAGATACTCTATTATCCTTAGTTTTATACATAGGACATAGATAGATTTAATAACATACCCTAGTCACATGGCTAGAAAATGGTAGAAATTGTATTTAAATATCCAAAGTCAGTCTTCTTAATTCCCATTCTACTTGCCCTCTTAGAAAGCAGTGAGTACCTACCTTCTCGTTCCTTCTCCTGTCCATCCTGTATTCAGACCCTTTTCTTCCTGAACATGACCAAGTTGATCTGTATCAGCCATTAAGAAAAAAGCTTAAAGTTTTACCCTCACTCCAAATACCTGGTGCCAACAAGACTCCCAACACCTGAGAAGTGCTTTGCAAAAATCCTTTTCCTCAGCATGTTGTGCAAGCCTGGCCTACTCACATCCCTGATCGCTTTTTAAAAGTCAGATTGAGAACAGCTGTGTCAGACTTGGGCCAGTGGGTCTCATTTGGATTTGCCACATGTTTATGTCATTCCCTGTGGGACTTTGCTTCTCCTCAGCATCATCTGCTTTAGAGTAACCCCCTGACTGGGGTCTGGGTGGTTCTCCTGCTTAATCGTTCTCCTGCGCATTGACATTACTGGCAATCCTTCGCTTGTCCCTTCTTATCTTAGAATACAGATTCAGAACGTGGCCTTGTTTTTATAACAAGACATGGTTGGTTAGTGTTTGTGAACATCCTGGTCATGAAGCCACATATAATCTCCAGGCCATGTGGAGAAGTTAGACTCCCAGTTCTGGTCATTTATATAACTCTTGGTTTATCTCCATAACCTAAGCCTGACCTGTTACCTTGTTTCCCCAATTATAAATGAATAGTTCTCAGTATGTTCTCTGAACATTTTTTCCTTTTTTTTTTTTTGCTAATATTCCTTGGCTTAATTCCACCCTGTGACCTCTGGTTTCACGAGAAAACCAGATGCAGATGTGGGAAAACTTCCTAAATTTTCCTGAAGAACCTCTACAGACGAGCTGTGCAAACATGATACACTTTTCTCAGAGTTATGGAGGTAAGGATAAGGGTGGTTCAGGGTCTTGACCTTGAATGCTTTCAGAAACTGTACATAAAGAACTAGAGAGATGAAAGGCAGCAACAAAAAATATTCTGTGAGAAATAAATTAAGATCTGATTCCATTATATAGGCTTTTATTTTTTTCTTTCACTATATGTGTATATTAGGAAAAGTACTGGGACACTCTGTTCAAAGTGTTTATTTCTATTGTTACTTCTAGGGGTCAGAAAAGATTGTAAACAGAAGAAAAAGGAAAATAGCCTTTGAGATTGCTGAAAATAATCAAGAAAAATCAGAACCCAAACTCAGGCTCAAATTGCCTTCAGTTTTATAACCAGATAGTTCCAGAATTGGTAAACCCATCTAATAATAGGAAATTATTACCTAGATCAATGTATTTTGTCTTGTTGATGCCACTCCTTTACGGCAAATGGAATGGGGACTTAGGAGGAAGACATCTTGTTTGTATTTGTTGATACTTCTTGAATGATCAAGGAAAAGAGAAAGTCAGGAAACTAGTCTTTGAACCAGTTAGTAAAGTAGAAATTAGCCATTCTATTTTACTAAAACTCTTCTGGAAAACCTTGAAAAAGGTGAAACCTTCTGCCAAACTAAGGTACAAGAGCTTGTCTGTACAATTTAATTATTCATGTTTTCCCTGCCCACAATTAGTCTAGATAACCAAATACTGAGTGACCTTGAAAGACAATGAAGTACTTTCTCATGACCTCACTTGATCCAGTTTACTCCTGCTTGCTGACATCCAAGAATAGCTTTATCATGGAAATATTGAAGGACATAATCAGCATTTCTGAAAAAACCTTGAATGTTTGTTTATTGGAATTAAATATATAAAAGAAAAATAAGGTTTTTCTGTTCCCTGAATTGTAAGAATTTGAACAGACAACACTTAAAATTGCCAACAGCATGGAGTCAATTACCCTAAATCCTATTGCCAAAAACTAATTTTATTTGGTGAAAAGCAAAGTGAGAATCTACTCGTTTTCTACAAACCTCAAGTAGCTTGAAAATCACAAATTTCCATTTTTTTCCCACCTAGATAAATTAACTTCTACTTAAATATTATGCATTTCTAGGGGACTGAAACTAATATATATAACCACCTGAAGACTTTTGGGCACTTCAGTAAAGAAATCTTTACTGAATACAACAGGGCAAAGTCTGGTAAAAAGTCAACCTGTTTAAGGAAAGTTACAGTGAGATTTCAGTACTTTACGGAACAAGATTTTTTTAGGTTCATCCTATGGAAGGGTCATGTTTTGAAAGAAAGCAAAGATTTAAAGTGTTTTATGTATACTATCTTATTTACACTCACAGCCCAATAACGCAGGTTTTTTATGCCTATGTTCTAGATAAATAAGTCAAGGCACTTAGCAGTAACTTGCTAAGGGCCTCACAGCAGGTGTTGGAACCAGGACTCGGATGCAAGTGACCTAGCTCCAGAACTGCCTCTAGAAAGCCTATGGAAAAACTTTTTCACATTTAGGACATTGTAGGATGCAAGAAAACATTTAAATTATGAAATTATGGATAGTAACATCCACCTAAGAAAATGACTCTATTAACACATAATGCTCTCATTAAAAACCCCTTGCTGCTATTGATCACAAATTCTTTTTTTAAATGTGTGATATTAACTTTGCACTTCACACAATGCACATAAGTTTTTAATAAATCATTTTAGCTTTAAACATGATTTTCTAGTATCATTCTGATTGTACTCCCAGGAGAGAGTCCATTTCCCCTATAAAGAGAAAATTGCCAGATGCAACCATAATTAATAAACCCTCCCCACATAGCTTTTGTTAAGCACTACTCCACAGCCTTTTGTATTTTTTTCTTTTTATCCTTTTACTACTGACAAAATGAATACTGAGAAAATTACCAAGGCTTTAATTAATACTAAATCAAACCAAAGACTGATTTAAACATCTGGAAATGTTTGATTTATAAGATCATGTTCATTGATCAGAATTCTATTAGTGATATAATTTATACAAGATTACTTTTTAATAGATAAGATAGTTTATGTATTATTAATTTTAATGCTAATATATTTCACAAATATTGCAAGTTAATTACTGGGAAAAAATCATATTGTCTTCACTACACCTTATGTTTTAAAAATCATTAGGTTAATATCATATTCTCTTATTTTCCCAGGAAATAGAATGGAATATAAATCTGACCCTCCAAAAGAGAAGTGCTGGGGCAAGATAACTCATATCGTGAAAATACACTAGAGGAAAGCAGCAGGTTCAATTCTCACCCTGCTAATTCTACCAGCTTCTGATGAATAGACTAACCAAAGAATAGAAATGATTAATCTAGACAAAATACAAGTAAACCATTCAAAGACAATGAAAAATGAATGTTTTCTTTGGTTATTTATATTCCAAAAATGAGTGAAACAATTTTTGGTTTTAGTACTTATAATTTATAACTTGTAATGTATAATTTATAACTTATATTTCCTCATCGAAGAGAATGACCCAGAATGTACTGCAAAGACAAATTATGCTAGGAATGCCATCTTGTGGTTGAGTAGTCCATTATATTAACTGGTCAATCCAGTGATGATCTTTAATTTTGAAATAAAACAGTAAATTCACAAATACAAATCTTGGTTAAAATCATTATTATGACAAAGAAGTAAAAATTAAATAGGTGCATCAGTTGTGTGTGGTTTTAGTTGTTAGAAAAACAGAATTTGACACTGAAAAAAGAGACAGCAAATTGTATTAGAATGAACTCAAAAATAGTAAGAAAACTGCTATCTACAACCATTACTATATTTTATTAAGACTTCTCGAAGTCTGAATATCAGAAATTTTTTCTCTTGAAATAGACAATTTTATTTTTGTCTCCACTACTAATTGTAAACATTCAAGAGGAATAAAATGGTGCACTTATCTAATTTGGATGGTGTAGGATCCACATAATTCATTGTAGTCCAAAATGGACTTCCTCCTCACAAATTAGCCATTTGAGTGGTAAGTGATCTCTCCAGTCAACAGAGACTAGCTAGATGTAGAACCTAACAACCATGTTTAAATATATTAATTGCCATATTGATTACAAGATATTTTGGTCCACTTCAGAGTGGGAGTGAGGGAGAAACTAATATATATCCCCACGAGTGCAAAGCATAGCACAATAGTACAAGGATGTGCACCATGCTACACTCTGTTGCTTCTTCATTAAGGATCCAAGCAGCATGTAAAGTTACAATGCTCAGTCCTAGAAATTAGGCTGCTGAAATTTCGAAGATAACAGACCTACACATAGATATTCATATAAATGACAATGCTATTCTATTCCCAAATCAATGTTTGTGAGTTATTATTGCATGCTTATCACCAGGGGGAAAAATTTATTCAAAAAACTTCATATGAATTGATTTTGTATTAGTTTTTCCACATGACCCTTCAGGACATTTACATCAGCTGCACAGACCTGGTACTCCATTTTCTCTTGCTGTTTTGTTCTCCCTAATAAAGCCTCATGTGGTGGAGGCAATGCATTGTAAGAACTTAGTAAATAAAGCTGGCTTGATGAAATCTGGTTGATTCCTTTAATCTTTAAAGCCTGCATGATAGCAGGTGCAAATTTTGAGTAGTGAGCTGTAGATGAGATAATCACTGGGCAAGTTTTGTCTTGCATTCTGTCTGCAACCACTTTTGCAACAGCAGTGTGTGGATCCAAAATATACCCTGAAGTATTGTAGGTGGAGTGAATAGCTTCCAGGCACTCATCCTCAGAGCACCAATCTGCTACAAAATCCTTCTGAAGTTTCTCAACTAGAATCTTTTCTATCTGGAAGTGACATTGCTCTTCTAACTGATTAAATAATTTGGCCATTAGTTCCCCATCTCTATCAGCCATTAAGTGTAAATGTCGTTCCAGATTTGATGATTTGAGAATATCGATTGATGGTGAAAAGGTTTGTGCTAATTTTCTTTGCCTTAGATCATAATGTCCTGTTTTTATAAAATCAGTTAAAACGTGATTCTGATTAGAGGCACAAATAAATTTTCGAATAGGGATTCCCATCATTTTGGCATACACTGCTGCTAAAATGTTACCAAAGTTTCCTGTGGGAATACAGACATCAACTGGGCTTCCAAAAGAAATAAATCCTTGGCTGACAAGATCAAGATATGCAGAAGCGTGATAAACTACTTGGGGAAGCAATCGGCCCCAGTTTATAGAATTAGCTGAACTTAAGATTGTTCCATATTCCATAGTAAGAAAGCCAGTAAAGTCAGAATCCTTAAAGATTCCTTTTATAGCTGTCTGACAAAAATCAAAATCTGCCTTGACACCCACTGCCCATCCATTGTCTTTCTGACTGCCAATTATCTGTGCTTTTTGAAAATCACTTACTCCATTCTCAGGGAAAAATGTGGTCACTGCTATTCTTTGCTTGTCAGTCTTATTAAGTCTACTAAAACCATTTAAGACTGCACTCCCTGTGTCTCCAGAAGTAGCAACAAGTATCATATAATTGCAAGTTGGTGGAATACAGTGTGCAAAAAGGTGAGGCATAAGCTGTAAGGACAAATCTTTAAATGATCCTGTTGGTCCATGAAACAGTTCAAGGATGAATTGGTTGCCTGAAAGGTGCCTGACAGGGGCAATTTTTGAGCAGGCAAAGTTTTCCCCATAAGCAATTTCAATCATTTCTCCCAGTCTGGCAGCAGGTATATCAGCAGGATGGATGCACTTTTCCAGCAGTATCTGTGCTCTCTCTATGTAAGTTGCCCCTACTAGGCTTTTCCACTCCCCAGAGTTTAATTTTGGAAACTCCTTTTCAGGAACAAAGAGTCCACCATCAGAAGCTAAGCCCTCAATCACAGCTTCACTGAAGAATTTTGTTGAAATCTTCTGTTTACTGTCTTTAGTCCAAATATGTCTCGTTGATATGAATGTTTCTGAGTCCACATCTTGGTATCTTTTAACCACAGCAAGTACTTTGTCAGCTATCTTCTCTGGGGAAGCCCCACTTTCACAAAACACACGAGCATCATACCACTTTTTATAATACCGACTTCTAAATTTAAGTAAGTCTTTCATAGATGTTCCAAAATTCTGACCTACAATCCTATCTGTTTTCATTAATTCTAGACGATTAACTATCTCTATTAGAGGTACATCCAGGTATACAATTATTCCATTTTTCTTCAGATGCCACATGCTAGCATCATGCATTGGATTGGACCCAGTAAGGGAAATCACACTTCCAGATGCAGTGAAGTTTAACACAGCTTTTCCTTCCTCTTCTAAAAATTGCTCATTACCAACATCCTGTAATTTTTCAGACACACTCATATTCCAGGTTTTTTCAAGGATATCATCATCCACATCTATGACACAACAACCTAGTTTCTGACCTATTATTCTGCCTACTGTTGTTTTCCCAGCACCAGGAGGTCCCATCAGGATAATATTTTTGTCTCCAACAAGAGAGTGGGAAGAGTGCCATGACTTCCTTAATTCTGCAAGTGCAAAGGTTCTTGAAAGAAATAGCTGTGCACGTTTATCCGTTTTAAAATGTATACTAGAAAAACATTTCTGGGTTATTTGTTTCAGATGCTGACATCGGTTAAAGTGAAGCATTCTCTTTCCACTTTTCTGCCCAAGCCAACCTAAAAACTGGCTTTAGCCCTTTTGAAAACATAAAAACAAAAAAGGAGATCTGGTTACCGATTTCAACAAACTTAAAATCTTGATAGTACTGAATATAACCATGCGTACAGTATATAAACTGTTATAAAATTAAACTGTTATAAAATCAAAAAAATAAACTGTTAAAAATTTTTCCAAATGCAGAGCACATTTAAAAATGTATTCCAACCCAAAGTCTTATATATGACATATTATACTTTTAATCTTTTCAAGTCTCAAGGTACTGAATAATCAAAACTTTAATATGTTTAACTGTAAATAGAAATTTTATTTAGAAAACACTATTTTATAGGTGCTTTTATAAAAACACTAAATAAAATTTGTATTTTTCTATCATGAAAACTATTTCATGGCTTCCTGATTTATGACCCACTGAAATAAAGATTATTTGGAGTTGGAATGCTACTTATTTGCAATTTAAAAAGCTAAGTAGTCTATATATTTCATTTCGTCTTAGTTATAAGAACATGCTTATAGATTATTATGTTACTCATAAATTTCTTATAGTATTCATACTAGGAAACCACAATGAAATGACATTTGCTTACAAAATGCTTGAATAATTTTCCAAACTTTAGGGCAAATATGTGTGTGTGTGTGTGTGTGTGTGTGAGAGAGAGAGAGATGTCTTTTACTATTAAGAATCACCCTTAAATATTTTTCATATTGAAGGCCCTACAATAAGCAAAAAGTGAAAAACACAATGTTGTCAAATTTAGAAAAACTAATAATATAGCAACAAAATCAAAGTCCACATATCTATAACCTTGTCTTCCGGCAGTAATCACTTTTATTTCTACCCTATAAACATCATAGAGAGACTTAACTCAAATTCAGACTCCAGAGTGGGAGCCAAAGAAACTCTGGAATATTTCCAGCGATAAGAGGAAAATATTATTCTGGCATCCAAAGAAGCAGTACAATTTGCCATACAACTCAAATTCCTGTCCTTGGAAATATATCTACAATTAAAACACAAATATATGTCAGGCAAGTCAAAATTTTGCCATTATCTACGTTACCTAAACTGTGTATTGTAATTAAACATCTAAAACCATTTTAAGTTAAAACTGAAATTAACTTACAAGCAAATTAGAACTGTCAAGAAAAGGAATACATGTCCTAGTTTGGCTCTTCAGTTTGCATGTGCTGTGCTTAACTCTCACTGACTTGCAACATACGACACACAGGAACAATCTGACAGAAGAGTACGCTGATGTTGAGGCAAAGTCAATCTTATAAAGTGAGGAGTCTATAATAGAAAAAATTCAGGTTAATCATAAATGCATACAGTGTCATAATATTTTACACAGTCCAGTCTAGTAATAAAATATCTACCTGATTGTATGGAAAATGTACAGAAAAATAATGAATTGATCCTTTTCATGTTTTCCCAAATTATTAAACGGCTGATACTATGCCTTATTCAACGAGCCCGTATTATGGAAAAAAATTTCACTAAAAAATACTGAAGAAATTTCTACTACCAAGCAATATAAAGAAATATAACCAAATAATATAAAATATTTCACAATGATATCTAAAATTTTAAAGATTTAACTGAATATTTAGTGATCAGGGAGGGAAAAGGCTATGCATTATTCTTCTAGGTTATATTATCCCTCTGAATCACTACAGGATTTGAATGTAATTATACTGAAAAGTGCATCTACCACACACAAGTATCTCTTACCTATTTAAAATAATTTCAAAGTGGGCATCATAGTGCTGGCACATAATATTCATATTGTACTCATAGCGTACTATGAGTCATTGTCACCCAATGGCAATCGTCTAGAAATATACACTGAATCAAAATATTTAGGCACAAGGCTAGGGCATTTTCTCTATGGTTTGGTTTGTTTTAAAAATGCAGAGAAAATATTAGTACTCATACGTGGATCAAGAACTGTTTTGCTATTCAGGTTAATCCTTTCCATGGAGAGGAGAGAAGGACCACACACTCCAGTGCCTCGTCATAATCACTGGGATCTTAGAATCAAAAGCATAATTTTATAAGTTCACAAATTATCTTTGCCTTAATCTTGTTATCAAAGCTGATTAACCCTTTCCTGTTGTTAATCTTCTGCTGTTATCCTCTTGATGGTCCTGAGTATTTAATTCATAAAGTTTAATACCTTTTCAATTCTGTAACAGAAAAATATTGTAAAGAATTCATGTGAGATTTACTTTCCTCCCAATTGTCTTATCTGTATTCCCATATATGCCCATTTTATTCATCTAAATAATCTTCAGCAAAAAAACCCCTTTTTTGTATATAAAACCGTTTAGGTCTGCGCAAACTACATAGGTTCAATCTGACCCATGACCATTTCTTGTAAATTAAGTTTCACCGGACCACAACTTGGCTCATTTCTTCCGCCATTCTTTCAGTCCATTGTTTTGGGCTACTTCTGAGAGACAATGGTAGACCTGAGTAGTTTCCACAGAAACTATCTTGCCTGCCAAGGCCTAAAATATTTATTATCAAGTCTTTTATAGTTCGTTGCTTCTGACAGTATACCAGTGTTAATTCCCTGCAGACACGGGATTACAGGCATTTCCCTCCAAAAGTACTGTCATTTTCAGTAAATAATTAAAATTAGAGATGTATTCTTTGTAAATATACTTTCAAAAGGCAAGAGAAATTATAGACCAAGAATTTAAGAAAAAAAGGTTCCTTTGCAAGTGATTTAATTTCACCATGACTGTAAATATGTTACAGTGAACTCTTAAAATTTTCAGTTTAGTATTTTTAAACCATAACAAACATAATGATATCAGTGAAATTACTGTATTCACTAACAGAAAGTCAAGACTTGCTAAAGCCAGTTTGTGCTTACTAACTGCAAAAATCATGGTTTGCCCCTACTGGCTCCTTCAGGAACTGATTAACATTAATAGTCCCAAAGTGCTCCAGATAATTAGAAAATTCACAAGCTTTGGCCAATGATTATCTGCTTGGTTAATGGTGTTACCATTTGGAGTCCTTTATTCATATCTTAGCATGTATAGAGGACAGTTCCCCAAAGACTTCTTCTCTATACATGTATAAACAAAACATAAAATCCTCAAAGGAGAAAAGAGAGGGCAAAGTGGTATCTACCTGTTTCAGAAAACAGAAACTCATGATGTGGAGCATGAGCCCTCAACCCCTCAACGTGTCATTCATTTGAAATAAATTGTAAAAACCCAGGATAAAAATTAAAATCTGATGAACTGGATTAAAAAAAAAACAAACAAAAAACCCAAACACCTAAATTTATTATTCTCCTATGAAATTCACTAAGAGCCCAAAATGCTAAGGACCCACACATTCAGCAATGCCCTTTAGGCAGAAATTAAAAAGTTAACCAAATGGCAATGCTGCTTGAAGCTCTCCACCCGAAACCCAGCAGCCAGAAGACCAAAACTGATGCTCTCTCTCGACGTGGAGTATTCCATCTGGGCAGTGGCCTCTGGGAGGCTAGTTCAGAACCATCTATCTTTCTTTCCAAATCATATCGCTAAGCTATTAGCCAGTCGGATGGCAAAGGCTTCTAGCAATAAATGAGCTCCTTTCAGCGGTCATAAGGGCACACGCAGACTTAGGGAAGCGCCACCAGCTTCAAAACGGAATAAAAATCGCTTCTCAAAGCAAATTTTTAAAAAGGGACACGAAAAAAATGGGCAAAAATTCAGGAGCCCATTGAACAAGTTCCTTCCACATCAGGCAGTTCATTTACAAAACAAAGTCCATCAGTCGGTGGACAAAGACCTAAGCGGAGGGGCCGGCCCCTGAGGAAACAGGGCGCAGGGCCCGCGGGCAGCAGGAGAACGCGGGCAGGCGGCGTGAGGAAAAAGCCACGACAGGTGGACGTGGAGGACGCGGGGCCCGGCGCGCACGCGCACAGGTGGCGGGCAGCGCGGTGCGCCCGCTGGGCCGGAAGCAGCCGGGAAAACGGGCGCACAGAACCGTTTCACACCGAGCAGCGGGAGGGGGGAGGGCGCGGGCGGTAAAGGCATGCGACGGGAGCGGACTCGTGTCTACCATTTCCCTTTCTTTCTCCTCAAATAACTCACCAAGAAAATCTGAGAAGACGGGGGAAAGGAAAGGAAGGACATGGAAAGGAAATTCCCGGAGCCGCTAGGGCCGCCTCGAGACCCGGCCGCGCACCTCTGGCACTCGGCCCGCTCGCCCACAGCCCGGGAGGGAAGCCTCGCTAGGCCGGACCGGCCCCGCGCTGCAGCCTCTGCGCCTGCGCCGCGGCCGGCCCGCGCGCCGCGCGTCACGCCCACGCCCTCAGCAGCCGCGCGCCGGGCACGTGACTCCCCGCGCTCCTCCCACCCGAGCCCGCCAGGCCCCCCCTCGGCTCCGCCCATTCCCCGTACCGCGCGCGCCCGCGGCTGTGCGTCAGTCAGGGTGGTCGTGGCCGCGCGCCCCTCCCCGGGGGCTTGGAGCATGCGCACAAGGGCCGTATTGTGTGACGCCCTGAGGTTCTAGTGGACTCTCTCCCCAAAAATATAGAGAGAGAAAAGATCAGCATGTAAAAGGGGAGGCCATTCCTCAACTCCCTGCTCCCCAAAGTTTTGTTTCCATAAAACAATGTTTTCCATATTTAATTTCTCAGGCGGGAAAAGGATTTGTGGAGCAGAGCAAAAAGGGAGACCGAGGGTGTTGTGTTGCCTTCCACGTCCCGTGGCCTAGTAACCGTTTCCATGGGAACCAGGCGTCAACATCGCGAAGCAAACCCAAGAGGAATAGAAGGGGCATTTTATTTTCTTCCCCAGAGAGGACTGCTAAGAGGTCAAAGGGGAATTATGTGAAAGAGAGAAAACTTAGTTTCTTGTGAACGCCAGCGAGGTGCAAAGGAAGCTGTGAAGAAAGGGAGGTATTAGCATAGTGAGAAAAAAGTTGAGTAGTTCTTTAGGAGTGATCTGATGGCGATGGATCCTGGGTGCTTTTCTGAGAGCATTTATAACCTTATACCCAGTGACTGGAAGGAGCCGCCCCAGCCTCCTAGGTATGTGGGTAAGCAAAGACTGTCACTCGGATCAAGAAAAGGGAACACTTATTCCATTCAGGATTAACTAGGCATCATATTACTTTTAACAAGAAGTAACATTTTTGTCCCATGAAGTAGCCTTGGATGACAACTTCTTAGAGAAGAGATTGCAAAATCCAGATATTTGATGTCTCACAATTCCCAGAGAGAGTGGAGTAGTGTTGTGAGAGGGTCGTTTTCATATGTTAGTTTCCTGTGAAGTTGGTGTGTCATTGTTGTGTAATTTATCTGTGTTTAGGATACTTGATATTTGGGTTTAGGTGTTCATTGCTGTTTATTTCTTACTGCAGAACTGCTCCCTCTGGAAAGGAATAGTACCTGTCTTTTTCCCAAAGATTATTGTCAAATGTAAATTCCTGTTTGTTTCTGAGCCTCCATCTTTTCGATCTGTGAAGCAAAATAGATGGACTAGATAGGGTATTTTTCAGACCTGATTGTTGGACGGAAGGAAAAGTAGATGGAGAGACTCAAAACTATGTGATTGAATCTGAAACTTTGCACAGATATTAGGACCCTTACATTCTCCAAATTTTTAGAAGTTAACCACAAAGTAAACATTCCATTACTCTTCTGTGTAAAGACTTAAAGCTTATTTAATTCTATAGGGAGAAAGGAAGATAACAAATGGAGAAATTATCATTCCTCCTAGGACTTGAAATACTTGCTGTCTTTTCTTTCTTCTTTGCCTGGTGCAAATCAGAACCACTTTGAAAGAGTGCTAAATTTAAGAAACAGGCTCTGATTAGTTTGGGGATTGTGAATGAATTTTCACTTGTTTCTTTGTAAAACAAAAGAACTAAATAATCTTTAAGGTCCCTTTCAGTTCGAAGGGTCAGTTATTTTACTGGTAATTTACTTAGTGTGCATTAACATCCTAGCAAGTGGGCAGATCATCTGGTTTAACCAGAGCAGTACCTATATTGATTTCTCTTAACTTCAAAATCTAACAGATTAGAAAGAGAAATATAAAGTAAGGTATGATATAGTTGCAGGGTTTTGAGGAGTGCTCAAATTAACTGTTGTGAATAGACTTTTGGTCAGAAATTCCTGTATACTGCACAAGATAAAGTTCCTCCTCCCTGTTACCACTGGTAGATCGTATTTCCTGTATTCAGTTTGAAGATGATTTTGGATTAGTTATTATGTTCATTAATAGATTAAAAATTTTTACTGCATCTAGGTGATTTTTTTTTTTCAAGAAATTATATAGAAACAGCCCTTTTTCATTTGGCAGGCATTACCTGAACCCTTCTTCAATTATAACATTGTCCTACTGTGTCAGATGGTGGGGAATGTTAGTGTGACAGTGCAAGCTTTTTGGTTTAGTCTGAAGGAATAAATAGGAAAATGAACTTATGATGAGAGGAAATTGAAGGCATTCAGATGTGGTACCAAGGAACTTTCTGTGTTAGGGTACATTCCACGTAGACTCATGAATAAAAATGAGTTTTTCATTTGACAAGATGTCATGTATGCAAACCAGTAATGTATTAAAACATAACATTATAAAATATTTAACCAACTCCTTCTCATCATACTAACACAAACTTGCCTGATCCATCCCCTTATTGTCAGTGAAAATTAATCAGAGGAAAGAACTGTAGGCCTCGTTGGTGGCCTAGGGATTAAGCGTCAGTGCTATCACCACTAAGGCTTGAGTTCAATCACCAGCAAGGGAGCTAACCCACATATGATGCAGCAGACCTCTCCTGTCTTGCCAGCCACTCCCCCTTAGTCGTATATTCAGTAGATCCACCTATTCTGCTCCCTACTCTGTCTCTGGCGAATCATCTTCTCTCTATAAATATAGAAATATATCTATCCCCTCCCCTATGCCTGCACCTCTAGCTTACACTCCAGTTCTACTATGCAAAAAAAAAAAAAAATTGTATTCAACTGTAAGGTTGTGTTTTTGGGATTTTGACAGGTATTGGATTGAATCTGTAAAATGCCTTAGGTAATATGGCCATTTTAATGATGTTTATCTTTCCAGTATATGAGCATGGGCTATCTTTCCATTTCTTTGTGCCTTCTTTTATTTCCTTTAAGAGAGTCTTACAGTTTTCAATATACAAGCCTTTCACCTCCTTCATTAAGTTTACTCCCAGGTATTTCAGTCTTTTTTAGTGCAATTATAAATGGGATTTCTTTTTAATTTATCTTTCTTCTAATTCATTGATTGCATGTAGAAATGCAACTGAATTTTTGCTGAAGTGGTTGTATTAATATCGGAGTAGATTTTTAGAGTACTGAACTTTAGAAGATATTAAGAGTTATTGTATAATGATGAAGCAATCAATTTCTCAAGGTATGATAATCCTAAATGCTATATATTTATAATAGCACTTAAAAATATACCAAACATAAACTGATAGAACTAAAAGCAGAAATAGAAAATGCCACAATTATAGCCAGAGACATCAACATCTGTCAAGAAATAATAGAACATCTTTTTCCTGGTACCTCTTTCTTAGGGTAGAATTACCATCCAACCTACTTAAGGTCCAGATAATTATACACTTTATGGCTAATCTCCATATGAATGTAGACATATAAATTAGAAATATATATCCTTTTTAAAACTTATGATAATTTCTACTAGAAATATAAATAAAACTTTAAAAAAATTTTAGGTACACATCAATTTTTAAGACAGCTATAAAAAATGACATGCAAAAACTTAAAACTTCAATGAAAACTATGGGGCCAGCAAAAGTTGAAGTACCTTCTCCGAAGGATTTCCTGAAGAAACATTCAAAAGAAAAACCACTACCACCAAGTAAGTTTTATCATTCTTTTTTAATATAGTAAGTGTTAATAGATAATTTTACTAAAATTATTTTATTGTCTATGAATATTAAATGTGCACAGGTGATAACAACTTTACCTCATATTAGACAGAATTTAAAAGTTTAGGTTAGTAGAGGATTCAGTAGAAAAAGAGGATGGAGAATAAGTTGCCTTCAAAATAGACTTTTCATTTGGTGGTACAAGCATCTTAAACTACATTTTGGATTAGTCAAGAAACCTCCACCTCCAGCACTACATGATTCACCATTTTATTCCTAGTCATATAGCTTTGATTAAAAGCAATAGTTATAAGAAAAGTTCTAAGCTCCAATGGGGGGGGGGGAGGTTGGGGGGTGGGAATCCCTGTTTGATCTTCTGCTAGGCGATAAAAATTATAACTATTACTACCAGACTCACTTTAGGCTCACTATAGGTCTCTAAGACCACAAAACAATAATTTAAATGGAGGGAATTTCATGAAAGAAAGGGGAAGAACCTGTTTCTTGGAAATACTACCTGTTTGGGCATACAGGGCCCCAAACTTAGAAGGGCCCCAAACTTAGAAGGGAATTTCATGAAAGAAAGGGGAAGAATCTGTTTCTTGGAAATACTACCTGTTTGGGCATACAGGGCCCCAAACTTAGAAGGGCCCTGGTTTAATGTTCTGCTCTTGCCATCTTGAAATTCTTCATTTCTGAACAAGTAGCTTTGCATTTTCATTTGTTATTGGACCTTGCAAATTATGCAGTTAATCATAGTCTGAGATTATATAGATATCAGGAAAGGGGCTATCAGGAAAATGAAAAGTAGATGAAAATGGAATTATTACAGTTATATAAGGAATCAGCTGCTTCCCCAGCTGGGTATGTTTTTCCTAATAATTTTGAACAATGACAAGGAGAGTGAAAATAAGTCTATAACTTTTAAGAAATTGGCTTTTTTTAAAAAAGATTTATTTTATTTTATACATACAAGAGCTGGGGCACAGGCCAGAGGTGTGGTAGGGTGAGAGGATTCACCAGAGACAGAGTAGGGAACAGAATAGGCAGATTGACCAAAGTACACTGATGAGAGGAGCAGTGGGGGAGTCAGAAGAGGTCTGCTGAGCCATGTGGGTTGCTCTCTGGCTGACTGGGGGATCGAACTCTGGGATCGAACTCGTGCTGCAGAGGCTGCGGACAGCTTCATAGGCTGCTTCTTAACTCCTTGCACCACCAGGGAAGCCCAAAATTGGCTTTTTGACAACTTCTTGCACCATGGAAATAAATGAAACATCTCAAGCCATCTAGGATATACATCTTGACAAAAGTGAAGTTATTACTTTCTATGGAAATATTTTATGTCCCACAGCCTTCTCTCATAATGCCAAATGCCATGAGAAGGATGAGGGCATTTTAGGAAAGCTGGAAGAAGCAAATCTGAAAATACAACATTCATGCTTAATTAATGGCCTCTAAAGTCCTTTTTGCATTTCTCTAGTGCAGTCTTGGCATTTGTGTCCACAACTACTTGGGAACTCTGGAAAAATCTTTAAGTGTAACTAGATGTTTTTAATGCTTCAGAACCAATGAGATCTTGGGTCCTGATGTATCCTTTCTAGGATTAAGCCTAGAACACAACTACCAAGCTTTATAAATCCTACATATCAAATAAGGAAAAAGCTTATCATCTTATAAATATTAGCTCAAAGCAAACATAAAATGCCACTGGCCTTAAGGATAATTAATTAAGAAATTCAGGGTGGTACACAAACCTTAAATGTCCAGTCCAGTGAGACAAAGTCAAAGTTAATATAGGCCAAGGCTGCTGCAATCTCTTTTCACCAATCTCTTATTTTGTCATTTTGAAACTGTCCCAAGACAGTGATTTGCTAGACACATTGAAAAATACTTAACAGATGCATGCGCATTCCTCTAAATTCAATTAATAGAACATCTGCCTAAGTACAAGGCTGTGTTGACATTGCCATTGTAATACAACTTAAAATAAAACCCAAAGCATTTATTCTTCAAGTTTATTGTCATTGTAAGCAAATGATTTGTGAAAGAGACATTCTAATGACCTCGTTTTTACTTTATTTCTTTAAATAAAGTCACATTCTGAGATATTAGGGGCTAGAGGGTTAATACAATCCATAGACTTTTAATAGCAAGTGTTGCTTTTTCTAATAAGAGTTGTGTAAACTGTGCTTTTTACAAAGTCAGAGTCCCGAGTATTATGATGAGATTAAGATTGGAGTAAAGTTCTATCAAGATAGTCAATTCCATCTGAAGGCAGGGATCCCATATCTCTAAAACACAAACCACGTAAACCAGTGTTACCTCAATTAGAAAAAAAAAGAGGATAGTTATTCCCTTCATTCTTAGAAATGAATTATAATCATTTTACACTTTATCATTTTGACAAACCATTTTTATGTGGCTGAATCAAAATAGACAAGTTGGAATGGTCAAGTTGAAAAGGCTGTGTAAAAATGGCAGCTTCATCTGCTGCTTCTGAAGAGAATGTGTTATAGAGAAATAAATAAGATAATTCTGGAGAGTAGTTCCTTTTGGAGGTGAGATATAATCAGGGAGGACTGAAGAGGAAGCTTCAGCTGTATTTGGTAATCTTTTATGTATTAAGCTATGTCTCAAGTACATATGTGTTGCATGGTTTTTATACCTTAATAATAACTAGTGAAAAAAAAATCATAGATTCTTGGACTTAAGAGTACATCAAATATGATGTATTTACCTGGTGATTTTATAGTAACTTTCCTCTGAGAAGCAATTTTTAGTAATATTGTTAGTATTCAGTAAAGAGTTTCTTTAAACTTATTTCAATGGTAAAATGAAACATTTGCTATTGAAATGTTTATAAGAAAACATTTTCACAATAGCTATTGAAAAATTATTAGTTAACTAGCACATGATTTAGAGTTCTTACCTTTTCCCTCACTATAATCTGGTCATCATTTTGGTTAATTTGCACTTAATTTTTGGCATTTGTGGTTACTTAATTTTTACCTTAAATATTTGGGTATATTTTAATAATACTTAAGTTTTAGTGGTAAAATATCTGGATATTATAAATAGTACTAAGTAGCATTGTTTATCATTTAATATTAACAAGGAAATTTTATGTTTAACAGAAAAAAAGTTTGACTGGAATGAGCCCAGAAAGCCTCCTGTGCCATTAAGGAGTGAACATCCAGTCATGGGAATACAGAGTGAAAAAAATTTTATAACTACAAATGCAGCCGATGTCATTATGGGAGTGGCTAAAAAGCCTAAACCAATTTATGTTGACAAAAGAACTGGAGACAAGCATGATCTTGAACCTTCAGGCTTAGTTCCAAAGTACATCAATAAAAAGGTAACCTTATGATATATTAATAAGAGATCTAAGACTCAAATAATTTAAATCTGGTGTTCATAATGGTTTTCTATATGATCATTAAGAATGCTGTCACTGGACAAATTATCTAGATTGCCAATTCCCATTCCTCTGCAATCTGTTTTTGATCTAACAGAGAATTTGGAACAAACAATACTATAGAGCAACAAACAATACTAGAGGAAAACTATAATTGCTTTCCTCAATTTCAATTACTAATAGATGTAATAACTATAACAAGTATTCTTTAAAAGATATTAATTTTTGGCAAGGTGAAAATGTCACTTAAAATCACTTCCACCATTATAAATCTCGAAAGGCCAAACTTTCAGAAGATTCTGTGATTAAATCATTAGGTAGCAGAATGAGAGATATCTAGAGGAATACAACCTCAGACTATTCACCCTATTAATATAGTGTAAATAATACACAATATCATTTCTATTGAATACAATCCTTTGTTTTCAGTTTAAAGTAAAGCAGAACTTGAAAGTACCATGTAATAATCTAGTCCCTTTGAGTCCTTAATTTCTATATGAAAAGGTGCTTATAGGATAGGCATATACTTGTTATGGAGAAAATTATAGAAACTTGGGTTAAACTGCTTAAATATAGAAAATGTTTTAAAAAGTGTAATCTAAAAAAACCTCATACATATCCTGTTTTACTTTATAACTTACAGAAATACACATATTCAAATATAAGTACAAAATCCCAAAGCATAATCATACATAATAAAAAGTAGTGGCAAGAAAGAAAGTAAAGAAAGAAGAAAGGAAAAGGAATAGAAACATAATTGAAATAGTGGTATGCAGGGGCTAGCATTAAGACAGTGTGGATCTATCATGATAAATCCAGTACCTGTTCAGAAGAAAATCAGGAACCACAAGGCTTTTGTCAGAGAACACTACTTATTCCTGAGACATTCTTCTCACTAAGTAAGACACTTCTGTAAAAATTTAGCACAAACCTATGAGTTGGCAATGCATGCCAATAAAGTTAATTCAGGCTTCTCCAGACACTTCCTCCTCCTGTGACCCCTGAAGGTTGCTCATGCTTATCAGGTATGGAAAAGCAGAGATTTCACTCTCCTATCTCTTTACAGTGACTTCCAATCCATTATTTTCCCACTATTTTACAAATCCCTTCTTCTTTGGTGGTCATGCCACCAATTGCCACACACTCTGTTCCTCCTTCTACCCGTGCTGTTCACTTCAGTACATTTTATGCCTTGAGCCAGATAATTGAGATGATCCATAATGGAAACAGAAAAAAATATTTAGTCTACCCATCCTTGTTTATCAAGCCATACAAACTCTCAGTACCTACTGTCCTCTTGGTCTTTCTCATTAAGAAATCAGGGCTCAGGTTGCGAAGATGCCCACAGCCTCTGCAGTGCCGGTTCGATCCCTGGCTGCTCCCCGGCCACCAGAGGAGGGTCCCACATGGCGCGCAGACCTCTCCTGCCACGCCCGCTGCTCCCCTCAGCAGTGTACTTCAGTCCTTCTGCCTGCTCTGCTCCCCGCTCTGGCTCTGGTGAATTCTCTCACCCTCCCGCGCTTCTGACTGTACCCAGTGCTTGTATAAACAAAACAAACAAACAAACAAATAAATAAAACATGCCTCTATTAAAAAAAAAAAAAAGTTTAAAAAAAAAAAGAAATCAGGGCTCATAAAGTAATTCTTCAACTTATTTTCTATTTATCAAGGTCAAGTTTTTAAAATATAATACTGGAATAAATCCTTTAAGGGCAATGTCATTTTTTAAAGATGAGTGAGCCTTAGGATTTAGTTTCAAATAAAAGAGTGTATGCCCTTTTGTGCCATGAGAAATAATTTGTGAAAACAAACTGAAACATGGATGATTACATGAGGTATATAGAGATAGCAGTAAGATATTATTTCAGATTCTAATTCTGCCACTTTATAACTTAATCTTTTTGTGATGATTCAAAGTCATTACCATGTACTAAACAGTACTTAACAGTAATGAGGTGTTGCTGTGTTTCCTGACATTTATTGGACCATTTACCACTGCACTAACTATACAGAGTACTGTGCCTTTAGAATTTATTTGTATAGTGCCTTACACCTTTTCAGAACACATTATATCTAGGGTTTCTATCCCATATTCAGTCAGTATGGGTTAGCTTTTGTGTGGTAACAAATAGTTCCCAAATTTCAATAACTTAAAGCAGCAAAGTTTTATTGTCTGCTTGTAGTATATGTTCACTGAGAGTTGTTGGTGGCTTTACTTCTTGTCATCATTTCAGGACCCAGGCAACCCAAAACATCTCCCCTCACTATACCAAACAGAAAAAACAAAAACACATGGCAAGTCATTCATCAGTTCTTAAGCTTCTTCCCCAAAGAGACAGAAGACACTAATCCTCACCTTAGACAAGTCAGGTCATATGGCTACATCTTACTTCAAAGTGAGCAGGAAAGTTTCCTCCTAACAAGGGGCTAGAAGGAGAAGAAACAGAATATTTGTGAATAGTTTTATTGATTACCATATTTCTCAACAGCTGCTTCTTCAGAGAGGTCTTTTCCTAACATTTTTTATTTATCTAAAGTAGCTCTTACCATTTTCTTCCCCTGTAGGGTCTTTTAATTTACTTTGTGGCACTTATATCTGTTATTTTATACTTCACTTTTTGCTTTTCTTACCATAAAATACAAATTACATGAATATGGAATCTTTCTAGCACAAAGTACGTTCTCAAATAAGTTTTTGAAGATGCCAAACACATTCACTAATCTGAAACAATCACAGCTGATTGCTTCACTCTTAGTCCTTGTAAACAGCCTAGGAGCCTAAAAATGTACTTTCAATTTTCAGATACAAGTTTAGGTTCCCAAGTCAAATTTCTCTTAAAGCGAATGTGCTTACTATCATCTTTTCAGAGTTTGTTTTTACATGCCTTGCAAGCATTTATTGTCTTTTATTTAACAAGACCATGCAAAAGAGGCCACAAAGATACTAAAGATTTTCAAGGTAAAAGCTCAAGCACCTAAAAGAAAAAAAAGAAAAGTCAACTATTAGGTGAAATTAAGAACTGAGTCATCAGCCAAGAACAGGCACTGGAAACATTCAGAGTAGGGAAAACAAGTGATCACATTAACAACTCATGTTTATAAAACACCAATTCCCAATGAGAAAAATGTCCTTGAATTTTGTCAGTTTGCAGTGTGTTAAAACAAAGGCTTTAAGTCTATATTTTTTTACTCCCAGTCATTGGCTGGTATACACATGTATCTAAGATTGCATTTGGGATACTGATTTTTTTTTTTCCTGAAAAATCCTTATAAGGATTATGGTGCCACACCTGAATATATTTGTAAGCGAAATGAGGAAATAAAGAAAGCCCAAGAAGAATATGATAACTTTGTCCAGGAAAGCCTTAAGAAAGCAGCTATGAAAAGACTATCAGATGAAGAAAGGGAGGCAGTTCTACAGGTATGTATTCTGTAATTTATATTTGTCTGTAACTTTGTAGGATAACCTAGAAAAAAGGTCCACCCTTACCTTGATTATTATAGCCAATTCTTTGACTTTAAAATCATAATACTCTCACAAAGCTCTTAGGGGAGAGCAAAAAGTTATAGAGATTCATTGAATAATACTTTGTTTCCAGTTTAGTTAGCTTGATTTTTCTTGAAGTGGTGTGTAAAGAAGCCCACCTTCTCCTAAACCGAATATGCATAAGTGAAGTGGAAAAGCATTTTTATTTTTATTCTTGTGTCCCTTAATTTTTCAAAAATAATATCCATAAAATAGATCTCTTTCACTAGATGGAGCTCTAGAATAATTGAAACTGTTCCTAGACCAACTTTTTTCCCTTTTCAATAAGCCAAATTTTAAAATAACCAAGTGTTAGGTTTTATATTTATTTTTCTGATGTTGAGTAAGGTGAAGTTAAAGATATTTATATTGGAATTTTTAATGTAAACATTTTATCTGAGGCATTAAAAACATTGGGGGATGTGATTAGGGTTGCTCCATTTAAGTCTATATTTTTTTACTTCCAGTCATTGGTTGGTCTGCAATAAGCACCTCCTTGTACTCTTCTGTAGTTGTGCTATCTCTTGTAGAGGTACAATTAGTACTTTATTCTTTGGTTATTACGAAAGCTTTCTATGAGGCCATATCTAGTGACCTTTTAAAAACAGAAAACTTTTTTACCTTACTAATTTCTCTTGAAAAATGGATTCATAACATTTTATTAATGCCATTATAATCATCAATAAACATTTATTAAATGCCTGTTTTGCATAGAGCATCACACTAAACCCAGAGGATGTTAAAAAAAAAAGGCATAACAGGGCCTCCTGGGTGGTGCATTGAGTTGAACGCAGCACTGTGAGGCTGTCCACAGACTCTGCAGCGCCTGTTCGATTCCCGGCCGGCCAGGGAGATTCCCACATGGCACAGCAGACCTCTCCTGTCACACCCGCTGCTCCCCTCAGCAGTGCCTTCGGTCTGTCTGCCTGGTCTGTTCCCCAATCTGTCTCTGGTGAATTCTCTTACCGTCCCACGCCTCTGGCCTATACCCCAGGTATTGTATACGTAAAAATAAATAAATAAATAAATCTAAAAAAAAAGGACATAACATTTCTGCTACAGAAACTCTTGTAATTGAATTAATGAGAGGTAATAAGTATCTATGTACATATATAGATGTGTGCATGTATAGATTACAACTTTTGAAAAATTCTAAGGCATGGGTCTCCAATGAAGGATAGCCCAGTTTAGCTGGGTCTTCAACTGCAGCATGAAAGGGTGTCCCAGACAGCAGGAGTGCCTCAAGGGAAAGAATTGTATATCCTTTGTTGACAGCAATCTCCCCAGTGCCTAACCCACTATTAAACAGTTGTTTAATAATGGTGTGCTTGAAAGAAAAAAGGAAGACATACAGGCAAGGTGCTGGCAGACATAGAGGTGGGACTTTGTGTACTATTTTAGAGACAGGATTCATCTTTTGGTCCATTCATATTCATTCATTCATTCATTCATTCATTCTCTCTCTCTCTCTCTCTCTCTCTCTCATTAGATTCTACCATTTTTAGAAAGTATTTCACATCTAACTGATGCTGAAATAGGGAAAGAGAGGAAGAACTTTTCTGAGTCCAGCTATTTCCTCTTCTGCCTTTTTGGATACAATGGAAAATAGCCCTAGCTTCATAATATGTTCTCTGCAGAGTTTCTTTGTATACTTTAATGTGACAGTAGCAAGTTCTATTGGATGCCTTACTCAGGCTGCTCATTATTGCTGACTGGTAGCAAAGCCACAAACTATGCTATTGACAAGTCCTGAACCGTGATTCCCTCCCTGCTTAAGAGTTGTATATGATAATGTGGTTGTATGTCCCTGAGTAGGTCACATTTTGCTCAGTCTTCATGAAATAACAGTCTCAACATACCTGGAAGGGATCATGTGGTCTAATAATTTCAAACTTCTTACTTTACAGATTAGGATATATAATGCAAATATATTAAGCAAACATTTTTTCCCACATCCTTTCATTCATTTATTGACCATCTACTATGTTCCAAGCACTGTACCCAGCTCAAGGTATTCTATAGGTAGCAAAACCAGCACAGTCAACCACTGTCAGTAAGCTTAGAATTTGGTTTACATTTGGTCACAAAATTATTAAATAGTTGAGAGGGACTAAAACTTATTTGGACTAATTCCCAGGCCATTGTTTTCCCATGACATAAAACACATGTGCACAGGGACGCCCTATCAGTCAGGGCTCCAGCAGGAAAGAGAAGGGACACTCAGCTGGGATTCTGAAGAGGATTTATGGGGCAATTATTTACAGAAGTGAAGCAAGATTTAGGGAACCAACAAGGACCAAGGCAGCCTAGGACTAAGGACAATAGAAATCCTCCACTACTCTAAATCTGAAGGACAAGTGTAAGAAAGAGGCCCAATGAGAGCTGAAGGCTGGAAAAAGGGGCTGCCTGACAGGAATTTTTGTCATGGATAGATGAGCCAGAACTGGTGTCCAGGTGATGCCAAGAGTGAGAGGAAGAAACACCCTGAGTTTTCTCTCTTCCCACCAACACTTTCTTTGACTTCACTCAGGCTAGGAGCTGGAAAGTAAAAGACCTAGTGGAAGGGGAGAAGCAGTCAGCAAGAATCAAAGGTGTGGGTTTAAAACGAACAGGACTAAAGGTCCTTCTTGTTAATTGTATGACTGCTTCTCTGTACTTGAATTTTCCAAAATTAATATGACTTTAGCATTAAAACAGGAGAGAGAAAAATTAAATTAAAATAAGGGGAAATAACTGTTGCTGCAATAGGTAAAAGATGTAAATGAAAAGTCTTGAAATTAGCAAAGAGGCTATTTCAGTATAATATGAAATACTAGTTATGTTTAGTTCACACCCTTAACTGTTGACTTAGATCCAAACATTATTGTACCACTGGGAGATTTTTTTAAAGCACATCATCCATTAAAAGGAAATTCAGAGAAAATGTGTAACTGCTGTGGCTGCATGTAATATGAAAATATCACCCAGCTAGCCTTGAAAATCCTCTGATATTTGAAAGTATATAAATCCATAGATTTCCTCTCTGCACTAATACCCCTGTGGAGCCCTGTGGAAACATTTCACATTTACAATGAAAGACTATATGGAAAAATGAAATTCTTTTGAGGACACTTTTTTGGAATATATCTTGTATATTATAAAGAACCATGTTAACCCATCCACCTCTTTTTAAAATTTAGCCTGGATATTTTCCTTTTATCATTTGCCTTTCCTAAACCTTTGATGTATTCTCTCTCACTCAACAAACGTTCAAAATTTGTTGCCCTTTTACCTAACCTATCTATCGTTATCCAGTGTGCTTTATGCTATCATTGTTTTTAGCTCAACATGGAAATAAATCATTGACAATTTCTTGCCCCTGGAAAGTATCTACAAGATTAAATGTGTACTATGATGGCAATTATAAAGGCATTATCATATAAGACACTTCTTGGTTTTCAGAGACCATATTTTCAGGGTAATGTTTTAAATCATACTTTTAGTTTTCCTTTCTGCTTTTGTAAAAATAAATGAGTGTGTACCCATAGTAAATAATAAAGGGTGCTAATTTATAAAACTTCATTACATAAATGCAATAAATTAAGATCATGTTGTCGATGGGGTTTCAAGTGCACTGTGGTAAGAAATGGTAACTACAGAGATAGAAATAACCTTTATTGCTCCTAAGAGATCCCTAATTTTGAATGTGTTGTTTTCTAAGAACATAAAACATTAACTACATTATTGAATTAGCATGTGTGTTACATTTAATGACATTCCAATCATTGCTGGAATATGTTAATGGGAAGTAGAGATCCCTAGACTATGGTGGGAGAATTCTTTCTAATATATTTAAAAGATCCGCTCTCTCTTTTTTTTTTTTTTTTAAAAAAAAAGATTTATTTATTTATTTATACCAGCACTGGTATTTATTTATTTATACCAGCATCTTTTTTTAAAAAGATTTATTTATTTATACAGTCAGAAGCGCGGGAGGGTGAGAGAATTCACCAGAGCCAGAGCGGGGAACAGAGCAGGCAGAAGGACCGAAGCACACTGCTGAGGGGAGCAGCAGGCGGCAGGAGAAGTCCACGCGCCATGTAGGAACCCCCTCCAGTGGCCGGGGAGCAGCTGGGGATCGAACCGGCGCTGTAGAGGCTGCGGGCAGCTTCGCAACCCGGCGCTAAACCGCTGCGCCACCAGGGAGGCCCAAAAGATCCTCTCTTAGTACATTTAATCTTTGCATTTTGTACAATTCTTCTTAGTCAGATATATGAAAATATGTCCTTGCAAGTCAGATCCAAATACTTTCTTGGTCAAAACAGCTTTTTACTTGAGAAAATCAATTCGAAATTGTCGTTTTAACAAAGCATTTGCTGTGAGCTTAGTTTCAAACCACTCAGCTCTGCAGATGAGTATTTGGTGGTAAAAACAAGTACAGTAACACTAAAAACAGAGCAAATAAATACTCCCAATGGGAACTGAGCACATAATCAAGGACAGGGTTTGGCCTCTGAACAGTATTTTTTGTTTCTGTGGGGCTAAGTTCTTGATAAATACACATCATTTTTCAGGGTTTTGGTTTTTTTTTTGCCTGGTTTCTTTACCTATTACATCTTTCTTTGTCAGTCCAGCTTTATGGACAATTTACTTTACTTTTATAGTTTACTTCAGCATTTACTGTTTTCCTACCATTGGCAGGGCCTGAAAAAGAACTGGGAAGAGGTACATAAAGAGTTCCAGTCCCTCTCAGTCTTCATCGATTCCATACCAAAGAAGATTCGCAAGCAGAAGCTGGAGCAAGAAATGAAGCAACTGGAACATGACATTGGTATCATTGAAAAGCACAAAATTATTTATATTGCCAATAAGTAATAATGTATTTTCAAAGTATAGTCATTGTAGCATAGGAAAACAACATGAATAAAATAAAAATGAAACTAGGGTTTGCAAAGAGGAAAACATTATATAGGAAATAAAGAGTCTTTACTAAAATGTTTAGGCAATGTTTAAAGAATTATTGAAGTATTTCCCTACATAAAAGAAAATTTTGTTTTTACCAGTGTTAAGTTTTCCATACAAAAAGCAATTAAAGTTTGATGTTAAGTGTTCCTGTTCTGTAGTGTGCTTCATTATTATTTTGTACTTGTTTCACATAAACATTAATTTCTGGACCTTGAGAAATAAAATCACCACTCAGAACATTACATTTTTTCACACTGCATCATACAAGGAACACATATTTAAAACGCTCAAATATTTTGAATGGAAATAGTGATGCATGCTTTCTTACTGCTCTAAAGTGTATTCTACATATTATTTCAGAGCTCCACAAATTTAACAGCATATATTTTCTGGCGGCCTATGTCATATGCAGCCATTTCCAACCATACATATTTTCAGTATTCACAATTCTATCTATGCTGAAAGGCTTACATTTAGAGAAAGAAAAATTAAGAAGGTGATTTATAAAATTATGAAAACAACTTATGCACAGTTGAGGAATAATGCATTAAAGAGAACTGCCTTCTTGCTGACATACCAACTTTTTAAAACTTTGCTACTCCATATGCTTTATTCCATAATTCACTATATGCAAGTCATTAAAATAGGGTATTATTTTTTCTTTTTTGGTCCTTGTGAATAACACAGTTTCTATTGGTAGCATTACATAATTGATCAAGTAATATGTTTATGTAAGTAGAGCTGTCTTCAACTCAAAACTAAAAGTTTGTAAATCCCCAAAAAAGGAAAAATCTGTTTCTATGAAATTTTAAATTGGAGAAATTCAGTAAAATATATGAAACTACAAAATATCAGAGCAATGGCAGTTTCTCTGCTTACACTGATTTTTATTCTATAGACAACACAAATAACAATTCTTTCTGAGCTTTTTCACAAGCAGAATTTGGAAGCACTATAGGAAAAACTTGCCTTAGTTAAATAAAAAAATGCTTACATACATGTGTTCTAGAAAACTCACTTTAAATTTTTAAACATCTGTTAATAAGAATAATTTCTTTATTCTTGTCTTACTTTAGGGCAGATACTTATTTATTTGTTTTTAAAGATTTATTTATTTATGCATACAAGAACTGGAGTACGGGCCAGAGATGGGGGGTGGGGAGATGACGGAGTCACCAGAAACAGAGTGGGGAACAGAATAGGCAGATCTACTAAAATACACTGCTGAGGGGTGCAATGGGTGACAGGAGAGGCCTGCTGTGCCATGTGGGTAGCTCCCTGAACTTGTGCTGCAGAGGCTGCAGATAGCTTCATAGTGCTATGCTTAACCCCATGTGCCACCAGGGAGGCCCCTGGGGTAGATATTTAATAAAGTATAATATGTTAAAATTTCACTTATCCAGAATGGTTGGCTGCTATTTGAAGTAAGCTAATAACTGTAACGGTAAACCCCAATGTATTATTTGCATATAATAGAAGCCCATTTCTTCAGTACTGTTCTGTTAAGAGATCAGCAGGAACCCTCTTCCACACAGGCACTCAGGGACTTCTGGGGTGGGTAAACATTATTATCCAGTGGAGGGGAGTGCCATGTACCAGCCAGCCAGGCTTAGGAAAGGACACAGCATCTCCATGTGCATTTTCTAAGCATGCAACATTAGTTGCTTTAACAAACTACCTCCAAATCTTTATAGTCTGGGAAAATAAGGATAAAGTCCTCATTTTTGTCACTGTTCAATGTGAATGAGAGTGGGGTATACTCTGTCCTATGCAGTCACTCAAGAATCAACCTTGTTTCCCTTAGTCACATGGCTCTACTGGTATAGTCAGGCTTCTCTGCCACAATTAAAGATAAGATGTTTAGGTTAGTATTTTATTTGTGAAATGATTCCTATACATATTAACTTTAAGTAACTCAATAGCAATAGCAGTGCAAAAATATTCTAATTATTTCAGTTTTAAAGTTGACAGTTTGAAGTGTTGAATGAGTTACCCTCAATGTTAAAATAACAACTCTGAGGTTTTAATGAATGGTTTTTCTTTTGCTTTCTGTTTATTTCTACTACTGGAGAATCCAGTGTTTTGTCCGTGGTTTACAATGTTGTGCTATATAGACTTGATTGCCTTTCTCACGCACAGCCTTACTAGGGAATCTTTCCCATGTAATGTATATTCCTCTGAGGGTTTTCCCTACCATTGACCCCCAACTCCTTAAAGCTCAAATGTGACCTCCCTCCTCCCCAACACACACACACACACACACACACACACACACACACCTGGGTCATCCTATCAAGCAGAGGAGAGACACACACCTGACACAGGCAATTGGCCAGTGACTCATCGGATTGTCTGTAACTTGGGTAAGATCTTGAGCCTAAAATGTCAATTTTCACTACTGCAGCTAGTTTGACTTGGTTTTTATTCCAGTTTTAAATAGCTCTGAATAGACTAAAGATTTGATGTGGCCTGGCCCCTTACCTGTGATCTCTTCAACTTGGCTTAATGAAATGCTCCCCCATCTCCACTGCAACTGGCATACCCAAACAACTTAAATTCTAGAGACTTCCCAGGTTTTTAAATATACAGTTTTCACTGCCCAAAAAGGTACCCTTTTCTTTCTCTCTTCTTGCATTCTACCTGGTCTTCAAGAATCAGATCACATCACATTTCCTTGGCAACCCTCTTTGATTCTACAGAATCTGACCTCCTATTGTGGCATTTCATATTGTATTGTGCATCTGTGGATATCTGCCCGGTTCCCACAAAACTGTGAGCTTCTAGAGAGAAGAGATGCTTCTAGAGAAGACACTGTATCTTTTTTTTTCTACATGCTTTAAAAACTTTGTAATAGCTGTTAGGCAGAAAGTACTCAAAACATCTCTACCAGTAAATGAAGGAATGATACACAAATATGCATTTAGCAACTGACAGACCTCCTCAAGACTTACCCCTTTGCCATGTGGATTATTTCAAGCTGAGGTCAATCAAGGCTCTTCAGGCTCATGAGAAACTTTTACCACTTAAAGATTTCAGTTTTTCATTATTGAATATGAACTTCTCTGTGGGATTTTCATACATGCCTTTTATTATATTGAGATAATTTCCTTCTGTTCCTCATATGTTTAGTGGTTTTATTGTGAAAGGATATGTGATTATTAAATTTAAACTTATTATCTCTCACCTGAATAATCAATGTATGCTCTCCTAATTATCAAATTATATGGAAAGACAAATGATAATACAAAGGGAAACTGGGTCATAATAAAATAAAAAAAATATAGGATATAAAAATCTCTCCAGCTAACATAGTTCATTCATTGTCATTCAACAAATACTGCCTATTACATGCCAGGAATTGTTCTAGTTGCTCTGCAAAATAGTGAACAAGATAATTACATTGGAAGACAAGCAATCTCATAAATGCATTTATTATTAGAAATCAAAATTAGTGTTTTGGGGAAAAAAGGAGGCTATGCAAGAGAATGTCAAAGGAATCCTAAGTCAGATTTTATATTTAAAGGGATGCCTTTCTGAGGATCTGATATTTAAAAATGAACTAAAGAATTAGCAGGAGTTCAGACAGATGGGGGGAAAAGGGCTGTTGAGGGAAAGGAATTCCAAGCAGAGAAAATAAAATATGCAAAGGATTTGGGGGCAGGAAACTGCTGACCCATAGGCAGAAAACAATCACTGGGACTGGCATGCACTTAGCGAAAGGACACGGGTGCAAGCTGAAGAAGAGAGAAGGGCAGGGTCACTGATGTGTTTTAAGTGTGGGGGTAGAATGATGCAATCAATATTTTCAAATGATCGCTTGCTACAAGGATTGAGCTGGAAGAATGAATGAATGTGGGGAGACCTAATTATAGACCATTAAATTCTCCAAGCAATGAAGATAATAGTATAGACCAGAGCTGTTATGGTAAAGAGAGAGAACATCCATTGGCTTCACAGTATGTTTGAAAAATGAAAATACAACTTGGAGATGGACTGAAAGGAAAGGAAGACCAAGGTTTCAAGGGTGACAATTAAATTTCTGATTTAGTAAACAAGTAACAAAGGTGCCATTTCCTAAATTGGGGAAATCTGAAGGTACAGCAAATTGGGAGGAGGTTATGGCATAGATCAAAAATACTATTTTATTTTTTAATTTATTTATTATTACTGAAGTAGTACTGCATTATAACTTTATATAAGTTTCAGGAATCCATCATTAAAAATCAGCATATGGGGCCTCCCCGGTGGCACAGCAGGTTGAAAGCTACGCTGTGAACCTGTCCTCAGCCTCTGCAGTGCTGGTTCGATTCCCCACTGGCCGGGGAGATTCCCACATGGCACGGCAGACCTCTCCTGTCTCGCCCACTGCTCCCCTCAGCAGTGTCTTTGGTCCGTCTGCCTGTTCTATTCCCCGCTCTGTCTCTGGTGAATCCTCTCATCCTCCCACACTTCTGGCCTGTACCCCAGTTCTTGTATAAATAAATAAATAAATCTTTAAAAAATCAACATACAGATACTACATTAAGTTCACCACTTCAAGTCCAACTCTGTTCTTCATCATGCAACTGACCCCTTTTACTTGACTTACCTAGTCCTATCTCCCTTCCCTTCTGGTAACTACTAATTGATCTTAGAGTCTAAAACATTTATTTTTGGCTTATTTAGTTCATCCATTTGTTTTCTCTATATACCAAATGAGTGAAATCATATGGTATTTATCTTTCTCTTCCTGACTTATTGCACTAAGCATATCCTCTATGTCCATCCATCTTTTTTTTATAGTAGTCCATTGTATATCTATAACACATCATTTTTATCCATTCTTCTGTCAATGGGCATTTAGGTTGTTTCCAGCTCTTGGCTATTGTAAGTAATGGTACAATAAACATGGGAGTACACATATCTCCTTGAATTAGTGTATTTGTATTTTTTGGATAAATACCCAGAAGTGGGGTAACTGGATCATATGGAATTTCTATTTCTAATTATTTAAGGAGTCCATAATGGCTACACCAATCTACATTTTTACCAATAGTATATAAGAATTCCTTTCTATCCACATCCAACACTTGTTTTTTTCTTTTAGATAATAGTCAAAGAATACAACTATAGTTATGTTGATTATTTATGACAGTCTT